CGGAGCTTACCCAGGAGGATGTTGTGGGGGACAGTGTCAAAAGCCTTGGTGAAGTCGAGATAGACGACATCCACCGCTCTCCCCTCATCTATCCAGCTGGTAACTTCATCATAGAAGGCTATCAGGTTAGTCAAGCAAGATTTCCCCTTGGTGAATCCATGCTGACTACTCTTGAGCACCTTCTTGTCCTCCATGTGCCCAGAGACAACAGCCAGTATGAGCCATTCCATCACTTTTCCGGGGACGGAGGTGAGGCTCACTGGCCTGTAGTTGCCTGGGTTCTCCTTCTTGTCTTCTGAGGCTTAAGAAAAAATACTTTCAGCACACTTTTTCACTTTTTCCCCCTATAATTTTCCATGACATTACTATTAATGATAATAACAAGACATCTCAAATTTATTTCAACAACTGCTAGAGTTGTCATCCAAAAGAAGTTAGATGACTGAAATAATTTGAAATAATAATAACTGCGTGGAGTCTTGTTTGCTCTTGCCTTATCTCCTTCCATTTGAGAAACTGAGCCAGTGGATGGAATAACCAGGAATCTTCACCAAATAACCCTGCATCATAAGTGAAATCTCAGCTATCCATTTTGCACCGGCATGTCAGATATGGGGCTGCTACCGAAAGCAATTAGTCCACTGTTTTCTAAAGGAATATTGTGTGTAGTTCTGGGCTCCCCAGTACAAGAGGGATGTGGAACTTCTAAAAAGGGTCCAGCGTACAGCAATGAAGATAATTAAGGGACTTGAATACCTATCTTATGAGGGAAGACTAAATGAGCTGGTCCTGTTTAGTCTGGAGAAGATTGAGAGGGGATCTTATTAACATGTACAAATACCTGAGGGGAGAATGAAAAGAGTATGGGGCCAAACTATTCTTGGTGGTGGCCAGCAACAGAACAAGGGGTAATGGGTAAAAACTGAAACACAGGAAGTTCCACCTCCATGTGACGAAGAACTTCTTTCCTGTGAGGGTGACAGAGCCCTGGCACAGGCTGCCCAGAGAGGTTGTGGAGTCTCCTCTGGAGATCTTCCAAACCTGCCTGGATGCCACCCTGTGCCACGTGCTCTAGTGTCCCTACTGGAGCAGGGAGGTTGGACTAGATGATCTCTAGAGGTCCCTTCTAACCTCAGCCATTCATTCATGATTTTGCATTCATGATTTTTTATAACACAGTTAGTATTATTTCTGTAAATAGTAGCAGTCAAAATATTACAGTGTGTTATGGGGTACTCGTGGAGCTTAATGGTATCAAAATGCTGAGTGAGAAATAACCTCTCCCCTGAAGATCTTCCAGTCTTCATAGAATGGACTTGCAAAGAGTAGGATGTGATTTCTCACTTCCAATTACTGTTAATCCCTACTTCTAAAAAATAAATATCCTTTGTAATACCAAAATATAACTACAGTGCAATTACATGGCAGTTACATTTTTAACCTAAGATTTCCAATAATCTCTATAATGACATACTTTATTACCTGATCAAAAATAATGATGGTATAAAGTTACTTAATTAATAAACCTGTGTTTAAAAATACACAGTCAGATCCTCAGCTGAGTTAAGTCACCATCTCTCTGATGATATCAGTCTGGTTCCTGAGCATTAAAAACCAAATCCTGGGAGCAATAATACCTCAGCTATGCAGTTAACCATTTGGTTATATTAATTAGTGAAGATTAGACATGGGATATCATAATTATGTCATGTAGATAACATCCCTTTGAAATTGCATTGTGACTCCAAACACAAAAGGCACCTAAATTTCCACCACCCTAAATGGGAAACTGGGAAATTGAGTCACTTTGCTTTAAAAAATTCTTGCCTATTTCTTGTGGCAGCAGTATACAAACGCATTGAAAGAAATGCAACTAAAACTTCAACTGATGTACTCGGGACCTATGAATATGTTGGTTTATGGTCTGTCCAAAGACAAACTTCATGTACAGGCACTGTTTGGAGCTCTCTGGGATGGATGAATCTGGACGAGAGTGTGTAAAGCAAAACGTGTGGGCCAACAATCTCTACAGCCATCTGAAAAGGGACATCAACAGAAGAACAAGCAATCAGGGTGAGGTGTTGTTTGCCACTTCAGTATCTTTTGCTTTTACTTTAACTTGCTGCACAAGCAAGGCAGTGCCACATTGAGCATTAGCCTCGCTTGGACACTAACATCCTGAAACCCAGCAGTAAAGTTTGACAGAATTTGGCAGCAAGTATGAGTTTACTTCACCTTCCTCATCCTCTCTGCCCTACTATGCAGAACTACACCTGTGCCTACACCAGGAATGTGTCTACACCATCTATACGGTTCAGTACCGATGACTCATTAAGAGGCTATGGCAACTGTGTGTATGAGGCTGACCACAGTTCCTTGGGGTCTTCTGCCTCACTCTTCCCTTTCCTTTTTGGAATTTGGCCCATCAACTCCTTTCCACCAAGGTACCTTGACAACTGCTCCAGACATCCTGGGTGTAGGACCTATGAAATGGATACACACAGAGGACAGAGAAAGTAGAAGGTAGAGGGCTGGCCATGTGCAGGACTTTTCTGGAGATGAGGAATGAACAAGTGTGTTATTTTGTAGGTGTTTGTTTTAGTTTTAAGAAGAAATATAGGACCTTCCTTCAAACCTTGACTTTAGTTTGGGACTGCAGATTTAGCTGTCTCTCACTGTAGCATAAGATTGGACATGGATACAACAAAATTGAGTGGAGATTCACAAATTAGCTGCAAAGACGTGGAGAGTTAGGTCCAGACATAAGATTTACAAACATCAAAAGGCAAAAGCAGGAAGGCTTTTGGGTCTGGACTGCCTTGCAGAGATTTTGCATGGAGGGTCATCACTGCTGTTCAGTCTCATGATATGATGAAATTATGTCCAAGATGGACCTGACTGCACAGAAGAGTGCTCCCTAGCAAGCCTTTTGGGGTGCATTTTCATGTTCTCTTTCAGCATACCTTCCTAGAAAACTAACTAACCACACAAACATGTCAAAAGTGCTGGCAAAGCAACAAAAAGAAAAGAGCGAAAACAATCCTCCTGCTAAAGGAACTGGATTTTATGTTTGTTCTTCAGCTGCACCTTCTCCTGCCCTGGTGTCACGCAAAGGAAATCTTCACAGCTGATCTCAGACTTCACAAACAGAGGGATTATGTACTACAGATACTGACAGGCCCCTTTGCTTACAGCCTTGGAAACTCTACCACTATAATCTCCTTTTTGAGATAAAGTCCATCAATCTTCTTCGTACATCGAACCATTCCCCTCTGCCGCTTCATGCAAAACTGAAGGAGAAGCATTCATCAGAAACGATGCTAAAACCTTCCCTCTCCTTCCTGATTTGCCTACTGTTTTAACTTACTGTTGTCTGACCTCCATCAAAGTCAGGTTAACTCATATCCATTTTCAGTGCTGAGCTGACTAGTTTTCAATAACAATTTCTCCTTTGTTTTATAACAAAAATCAATAAAACTGCCCCTCTCTCACATTGGCCGAGCTTCCAGCAACGTCATTTGCTCTTCATTGTTGCTACTGCTTTATTTTTCTTTCTTTTACCTTACCTTTTTTTTTTTTTTTTTTGGCAAGGCACAGATCAATTTAACAAGATGAAAACGATTTAGACTTTCACTCAAGGTAAAATCTGCACTTTATAACCCAGGATGTAATTTACAATCCTGTCATTAAGCTTGGTTAATCCTATTATTATGAAGATAAATAATTACCCATAGCGAAGAAAGGGATTCCCAACAGAGTAGAATTATATTTTCCATCAGTAATGAAAAATATCCCTGCCGCAGTGACACTGGAAATACAGATAGTGAGTACTCCCAAGAGTCCCAGGAAAGGTTTGCTACGGAGGCAGTCCTTCATGGAGCTTGAGAGGGTAGCAGTCAGGAGAATCAGCATCAGGCTCACCAAAATCTTGCCCCTGGCCAAGAGACTGGTCTTGTGGAAGTCCTTCCAGAGGCTAAAGGATGCGAGGGAGTAGAGCTGCAGATCTTGGTGATCCAGCTGCATCTTGTGCATCAGTTTACAGAATTCACTCTCCCATTTCTCCCCAATGAGGTCCTGGGTAACAGAGCCATACGTTTGGAGGTAGTAAGTGATTTGGATGGCTCTGGCTGATTTGACTCTCTGGTCTTTGCTGTTTGGCACTTCCATGACCCCTCCGAGCTGGTGGCCAATAAAACTTCTCCTTCCATCCTGGGAGGGAAAGTAAAAAGACGAGCATGTGGTTATCTTGTACAAGTGATACTGTTTGACTCTACTTTTCTTTCCAATACATGCAGAGAGCGTGAGTCAAAGGCTACTGCAGTCAATAGGAGTCTTTCATTCACTTCAGTGGGCTTTGAGTTGTATCCCTATTCCCTCTCTCTCCCTCTCGCTCTGTTTCTTACTCATTACAGACTCATCTGCAATTCCGTGCTGCAGTTCAGGGACTGCCCAGATACTCACTGCAGACTCAGATGTTCAGAGACTGAAATGTTGCATGCAAGTTCCTCACCCATGGGAGAGGTTCACTTTTCCACGTTTTAACTGTGGCAGACAACAACAAAACTCCAATTACAGAAGAATAAAACATTTGAGAAGAAGATCAATTTATGGAACTTCTGCGATTTCTTGGTACTCTGCAACTGCTTTTTTAAAAAGCATGGATTTTACAGAAAATAAGGCACTGGTTCCAACCTCGGTACACAGATGTACACCCACAGAGTTTAATATAGCTACTCTGACTCCAGAACAGTCCATTTAAAATCAGACTTTGTGAACTGTTTATTTGAACTTTTAATTTACTCTCCTCCTCAATTTAGCTCAGATTTTTCTGTATATTTCAAGAATACAAACCTTACTCTGATCTTACTTGTTTCAGTACGTGCTAGGACAGAGTGGTGAGCTCCACGACAATCAGTAGAGGATACAATTGATGCATTCAGGATCTCCATCAGTGTATTTACAGGACCTGACGGGTTTGTGTAGAAATATCTTGTATTTTTCAAATGCTTTCTTTCTCGTTTTGTAAAGCTTTTTTTTTTTTTTTTTTTTTTAGCAACTGGTTATTCTAGTGCTCCAGAATAAGTGCAGTTATCATACTGCAGTCTATCACACTCCAAACCCAAATACATTAGATTGGATAAAAATGCCCTAGTACAAGTAATTTTTTTTTTGTCAAAAAAATCTAAAACTGGGAATAAATGTCTGCTTTAAACCAATTAACAGACCTTCATTTCTTTTTTTTTTTCCCTGTAAATGGGATTAAAAGTTTTCAGATTTATTTCCTTTTGTATTTGAAAAAAAATCATAACATTCTCAAGACAGTTTATATATAAACCGTCTTGCAGGTGTGAGTAACATGAGATATTACTCTTTGCCTAGAGGTATTTTGGAATGAGCTGACTGACAGCTCGAATTTGGGAGACACTCTGTCCTGCACAAACGCATGACAATGCTCATCTGCAAAAGGCTAAAAACATTTGAAGGAAACACTTTTAACTTTTTTCATGCCCAACATGAACTGTTGCTGGAAACACTTGCATGGCATGGAGGTCACAACCTGAAATTCCAAGGTCTGTGCTACACAAAAGGTCAGACTATTATGTTCATAACGATTCCTGTTGTTAAGAAAAATCATTGAAGCAAGGTACCAGACTGTATGAAACATAGATAACTTCTGGATTGCCTGCTCTTTGAGTAAATAAATATCAGAAACAGAGACAGTGCTGAAGCTATTTCATATACTCACCTTGTCTTTTTTGTGGTATGTAAAGGAAGTGATCTTCCTTTACAATACAGAAATTTCTAACTATGCTTTCATGGCAATAACTCACACTGTTTTCAGCATTAGCTTGCCACAGACCAGGGAATGTGGTGAAGCGATTTTCAGAAGCTCTTTTTTTCCCTATTCCCAGGCATTATTTCCCATGGAAGTAATGGCTTCTGGTGAGGTGTCCTGCCACAAGCTGACATAAAAGGTGATTTGCAGTCTGATGCCAGCTGCCCAGATCACCTGAAGCCTCATTAAAAATGTCATATAAGCAGAGACAGCTTGTAGATAGGGGCAGCTGGTGCTGTTTGGAGTCCAAAAATCCTTATCTCTAGCGCATCATGCAAAAATCCTGTTTTGAACTCGTTATTTCTAGATTTCCCAAGGAGGGTCACACCTAACACACACACTCACAAGAAGTCCTTTTCAAAGCTTCATTAATTAATGCTTGAGCAATGCAGCCCCAATTTCTATCAGAGGCAACTTCACAGCTAAAAACTGCCTTTGACGCAGCTTTGATATTTTAGGGAGCAATGTCATGTTTCCCCACTATATATGCAGTGTTGACATTCAAATGCTTTTAGCCACTGCAGGACACTTTAGCAGAACAGCTCCCATCTGAGACAACAAACTGCAATTTAGACTCCATTGATTCACTGTGCAGCACTGCAAGGTTGCTGCAAACTTGGTGATGACCATCTGCTTTCCTCTGCAAACGGTGCACCGAACGACAGCTACAATTCAAGGGAAGCAACAGAACAGTCACAAACAAATCATATTCTGCCATATCTTCCACAAAACAGAAGATAACAGCTATTTATTACTCTGATGTATAGTAGGGCACCCTGCTCATATGTCAACAAAATAGAGAGCATTGAGGTGGAATCAAGAAAATCACAGATGCTGAATTGCTCTGAGGGCATTTTATCCATCCCCTTCTGTCGAAAGGAAGATTATTTCCTATGTATATAAGAGTTTTGCTTTTTCTGCTTTCAAATGATGCAAACAAGAACCTGCCACTGAGGCATCAAGGAAAATGGGGACATTTTCTAGTTGAACTTATATGCTGTCTTTGTCTAGATGCTCCACGAGGCACTGAGGTCCTGTTCTGATAGGCAGGGCTTGATCAAAGCTCTGTTTCCAACCTCAGTGGGCAAGACAAGTGAAAAACCTGAAAAGAAATTCCATTTATCACACATTACAGATGGGACTGCTGGGTGGGAAAAATGAAGGGCCTGCATAGTCAGCTTAACTTTCAACATTTCACAAGGACTTCTGACTTAGGAGCCCCACTGCTTCTCCATGGTTGACACTGATGAGCAAGCTAGGGAAAATATTTGACCAAAACATCTGCTCAGCTATGCTCTGGGACTGCCTTGGTAAAAGAAGGAGACATGATTAGCTGGGGTCGCAGGATAGGCGTAAGGTTTAAGAAACAAATGAGGCCACCTCTAAAACAAATGCCTAAAGACAAGACGTATTGAAGATGATCCTCTCATTCTGGCCAGAGAAAAAAGCACTTTCTGATGGTCAATTAGCTCCTCATTCCTGTTATGCCTCTGCATGATGTTGCCTATAACAGATCTCTTACATGTTTTTCCTGAATAAATTCCTACTCCTTGATCTTCTTCACAGGAAAGCAAAATCCCAAAATAATATAATAATAACATTTAGTCAGTATACACCATTTTACACACTTGTATCTTCAGAGGATCTGCAACAGAAGACAATCTCCACTCTTCCCAAGGCCACTAACATGACTGGAGTCTGAGCATTGGTTCCCAGACTTCATTTATGTGTCTTTCTTTCTGTTTTCCATATATCGCTCTCCCTTTCTTTCTTTTTGTCTGTCTAATTAGCACTTCACTATATCTGTTCTCTCAGAGGACTAAAAGACGCATCATCACTTCTGATGTCACCAGATTTGATCCTAATCTAAGCATCTTTAAGAATGACATGAAATATAAATGACTTGATGGGACGTGTGATATCTGATCTTAAATGGGAGCCAAGCAAAACTCTTCGCTTTGATGGTGAGGTATTAAAGTGTTTAAAGTGTTTTATATGTATACTCTCTCTTTCTTTTTTGTTTTTTTAATAGACATCCAAAGCTGTTTGGTAAAATAACATCCTGAAATCAAGGTGGAGGAGAGCTAAGGACTCTCAGGGAGTTGAGAGGTGACAGAAACCAAAAGCACTGTCCTCCTTTTCCTCCAGAATGATGGATTTTGCCATCTATATTTATGCAGGCCTTGCCTTGCACATGTTTGAAAATCAGGGCTCTTCGTCCACTTGGAGTAAAAATCACTCCTGTCGAGAGGATGAATGCAAAAAAAAAACCCCTGAACCATCATCTGCAGTATTGCATGCTAGAAATATTTCTGCAAAGCACACTTGAATATCCAAAGTATCCTTAACATCCTAAATAGCTATAAAAATTTGGCTTGCACCAGAGCTGAGCATAGGATCTCCTGGGGTAATCAAAAACAGCTGCTACTACTGAGCTAAATAGCCTTTACTTGTGTGAATTGTAGGTATGGATCCTCTGTAAATACAGCCCAAGGGGGCATTAGTGATACTTTCTTATAATTAAATTATCCCGACACCTTTTCTATTTGCCTAACGATTACAGAATCGCCACGGAAATCATGACTGAACACACTGCTCTAGACGTGCCTGCATGGTGCCTACTCACCCACAACCTTCCTCGGCTCTGGTGCAATCTCTGCATGCTGTGGCAGTGACCCCTCTCCCTCCTGTTCCAGCTGACACCAACCTCCTCTGCTTCCCTTTCACTGGGATGCTGGAGGACTTGATGTGTGCACTTCATGCAGTGGAAGCTCACTGAGGGGTTGACATCTATTTTAGGTCCCTGATACCTGACATCCAGATGACTCTTAGTCCAAATATACTCTTAGGATCATCGATAGCAAGTTTATTTCCTATTTTGCTTTTTTAACTACTACCTGTTATCAACTGGGTGATGGCTGAATTAAGGATCTCCTGATTAAGCTAATTATAGAAATGTTAGAAAAAAACATGTAAAGCTGGTTAAACTCTGTTTTACCTTAATAGCTTAAAAATATCCTATGCAACCAGGGATGTGTGTTGAAATATATTGTGTGTTAAATATCCTAATGAGATCAGTGCCATTGTTTCTTCCCATCATAAGGACATTCCTG